CATTATTCAAGTTGTACTTATGTTACAACTTGGTAACATGATCAATGCTAGTAAGTCGGATTTGTTCTCAGTTTATATTCTAGTGGCTTGCCCCTCTCTAGTAGCTTGCCACTGTTGGTGAGAGTCATCTTAGATGTTCTTTGATTGGGCTGTTTTCTGTTGCCTTCCTTGGCAGTTCCTTGATTGGGATATCGTTTACATAATTGTTGGTCTGATGTTAATCTTGGAATTAATCTATGCTCATATGCATATTGATTGCTGTGAGGAGATATTTTGATATTTTTGTTCCCTTTTGGCTTTTTGATTGTCTCTTTTGCATGGTATGTAGATGTTGTTTATGTCCACATGTCTGTTAATGACTAATTTGTCAGAGTACCATGCTTCTAGAAATTCCTTAGTTTTTGGACTTAGCTTGGTCTAGGATGGTCACAGTTTTGCAAATGAAACTATGGTTAAGTCTCCCCATATATTGTGAAATTAAAGAGGTTTCATTATCTCTTCTGATTGCTAGTGAACCTTTTTTCTCCATCTTCTGCCTGTTTTTCTTACATAGTGGCTAATGCAGTCATTACACTGTATGATTTAGATGACTCCTTTTTTTTCTTCTGGGGTTGCTAGGTCTTTTGGTTTACTTAGGATATTTTGAAGAGCTTTAGTTGGCTTTGTGCATTGTAGTAGGTCAGAATATTCATGAACTGGCAGAGGCATGGTAACAAGGTCAGCCAATGAATAGGCATAGCAACTAAGTCAGCCAATGAGGACTGTTTGGAAACTAAAACTGGAAAGTGCCTGGGTGTGGCTCTGTATTAAGCTTTGAGCTCTGAAGCTGCAAACTACTCTGCAACTCTGAATCAAAACTGAAACTGTTCTCTGCTGTTCTCTCCTCTGCTTGTGTTTTGCCTATAACTGCTACCACGTTGGAAGAATCTGCTGTTGATATTGTAAATTTACTTCATTTATAGAAAGAAATTAATGGGACTTCCGGTTTGCAGGGCTTGGGACTTCCAGTTTGCAGGGCTTCGGCGGCAGGCAGGAATCCGCGATCGTGCGCGGTTTCTGCCTGGGCTCGCTGCTAGAACGCCCCAAGCCAGCTGGCTTCGGGGCTAAGCCACCCCGTAGAGGTGGTGAAGAGGGGGGAGATTGCCAGCAGGGTCGAGGAGAGCCGCATCTCTCCTCCTCAGCTGGTCAAACTCCCTTTCCTGAAGGCGGTAGGAGCGGTGGTCAGAAATGGCCACCTCAAAGAAGCACTCAACCGGAAAAGAAAGTGCAGGAGGAAGATAAGAAGTGAAAGTTTTGGCTGACCCAGTTAAAAAGCAACAACTAAGGTACCCTGGAATTTAAATTTTATAAAAGATAACATCGCTCCCAAAAGAAGAGTCAGAAGCAGCAAAAGAAAGTGAAAAGGAAAAGTTTTTTTCTCTTCTCTCTCCTTCCTCACATTGACAACGAAGAGAGCTGAATAAGAAATCAGAAAAATCCACTTTGGCACCAATAATTAAGTTGAAAATATAATTAAATGCCAAAGGGACAATGAAGATTTCTGGACACTAAAAAATCCTTTTTGTCTATAAGTAGGAAGGGAGAGGAAAAGAATAAGGGCAGGATCTGGAAGTAGGAGACTGCCTGGATTTCAAAAGAATTTAATGTAAAATCTCAATAAGACTTCTAAAAGATACATTTTAACTGGAACTTGGTAATCAAATAGTAACCCCAGGAAGAGAAAGTGAAAAAAGAAGAAAGTGTAAAAAGAAACAGCTTGTGTGTATTTGGATTGCTTGGTGACTTGGGGACTTTTGGATATCATATTTGAATGACTAAAAACAATTGGGTGGTTGTTTAAAATTTTTTACAATGGCACTATCTCTGGATGAACTGAAAATGGAATTTTAAAACTATAAAGAAGAGATATAAGAAGGGAGGGGCTCCTTTGGCTCCGTTTTTCAATTCTTAGAAATGGCGATTTGTAGCTACGAGAAACAACAAGAAAAGACTGCGCAACAAGAAGATTGGGACAAAGAAGAAGCCATCTTTAATGAACAAGTAACTCTATCTGGGGAAGAAAGGGGAAAGGGGGGAAAGAGAATGGAGAATTTAAGACTTAAAGAAACAACCAAAAAAGGGAAGCAACAGAAAAGGGGAATACAGAAGAGGGAAATGAAGGTGGAGAGACGGGGGAGGGGGGGGTAAAAAGGGGAGAGAGAAGAAGAAAGGGAAGAAGGAAAGGAAGAGAAGTTACAAAGGTTTGGAGCAAGATGTAAAGAAACAGGACCTATTCAGAGATAATGGGTGAAAATCTAATTGTAAAAGGGATTCTGTGAAGGTACATAAGATGGTATTGTTATATTTGTAATAGAAATAATGTTAGAAAATTAGAAACAACATATGATTAAAAAGAGGGATAAAATAGTGTAATTTAGTGAAACTTTTGTGAACAAAATAAATGAAACAAAATAAATGAGAGAATTGAATTAGGAAGGAACGGGAACATTTTAATTACTCAATGTTTTATAAAATATAAGTGAAGTGGGGGGGGAATTAACTATGGAAAGTTTATAAGTGTTCCCATAGAAGTATGATATTTATCTGAAAAGTAATGTGTAAAATGTTAAGATTTAAATGAATATTAATATTAATGATAGAATTGAATTGGTATGGATTGTTGTTCTAATTATATTATACATTTATAATTTTTTCTTTTTTTAAAATACAGTGTGTAGTTTTAGAAAGTACCAAGCAGAATCCGAATGGAAGTTATGTATTATATTAAGTGTTATAATTTTAGGGGAAAGATATAAAGGCGTCATACTCCAATCAGTGATTACAGGAGAAATTTTGTTTAATGAGAAAAGATAGTAGACAGTTGAAACAGGACAGACAAAGAATAAGTACAATGATTTGAATTGAGATGAAATAAATAAAATAAAATTAAGAAAGTTAAAAGAGGGGAGAAGCTATATTGAAAATGTAGAATAGTAATAAGATATGGAATGGAATATAAAAATGAGCATGAATTTGAATTTGTGTCTGTACGCAGATATGTAACCCGGGACTATGCTGCTTTCAAAAAAGATGTTTTATGTTTTTATGTTTCATGTTTTGTTTGTTTATGTTTGTTTTCAAAAATCAATAAAATTTTCAAAAAAAAAAAAAGAAATTAATGAATCCTGATGAATCAGTTATCTGTGTGTGCTTTCTGGATTTGATTTTTGCAACAAACTCTGATATAGTAGTCTTGCTGGTTTCTGAGATGTTCTTGATGTATGGCAGTGTTATTGTTTTTAGGGCTTGTGTTGGTTGTGCCGTATTGGGTTGAGTAGTCAGGCACTTTTTATTAAGGTGGCATGGATATCCATTTTGTTGGATAACAAGCAAGTCCTGCTTCTTTCTAGCACTAGTGATTGTTACCTAGTTTGGATAATGAAATGACTGCAAGAAAACATCCAAGCTCAGAGAGCACCAAGGACCTCATAATTTCAACCCTGAGCTGCAAATATTCTCCATTATTGGTCCTTTTTAGTTTGGCAGGTTGTGTCCATTCATCCAGTCTTGTGCAAGGTTTGAATATGTCACTTAGAAGGCCACCATCTGCTATATACTACATAAATAAGACTATAGCTTGGTATGAAGCAACAACAGCAATTTCAATCCTAAATGTAGTTGAGAAACCAGAAATTAAAATCAGAGCAGACAACTATGTTACTTTTGCAAACTAAATTTCATTGTGGTAATTTGTTTACAATTGTGTAAATTGGGCAATGGCCAGAAATGGATGAGACCAGAGGGCCTGTCTGTTTCCTCCACTTGCATCCACTCACTTCCCCTGCTCTGCTGTGCACGTATATTAGGTGGACAGGGAGAAAAGGAAGGGATGATTTCATCTTTCTTTTTCCTGGTACAAAAGAACTGGAACAAAGCCAGTTGGAAAGGGAAATTTGTGGAATTTTTTAAACATCTCAATTCCTGCCTTCTGGAATAATAGTTTTGCTTTTATTAATGTTTATTAATGTTTTTATTAATGTTTTTGGAAAACAGGATTATTAGAATACAAAATTCATTTTGCTTTCCTGGGTTAGGGTTAGGGCTAGGTAGATTTGAATTTTAAACACAGTCCAAATCATATGACTAGCTGATATGGGCTCAATTTTTGCTGAGCTGCCAGAAAAAAAGGTGACATTCCTTTCTATAAATATTCATGTTAGTCTAGTGTTAGATAATAATTAATGCTTCTTCTCTATTATATCTATTTGTAGATAAACTGTATGAATTTTTACATAAATAATGAAAGACATTTACAAAGCATAAAAAACATTTACAAAGGAACAGAAATATGTTGTTTAATTCTTCATAACTATATTATACTCAAACTCTGATTCCTGAAATCTTTAATTGTGTAAAACAGTACAGATAATCCCTGGGTTATGGGCATTCCCTTAGCGAAGTTATGTGATAAGCACCCTCTAGCATTTACGAACAAGTCCTGAAATTATGAATGTTGCAGCATCATGGCAGTTGCTCGCCCTTACTAATGACTGCAGAGGCTCTGCAACGTTCATCCTGCCTATTCACACACACACCTCGTCAGGTCTTCACAGGTACTCCGCCTGTGGAGACACACTTACCTTGCGAAGATCTCCTCTCTGTCAGTTTCTTTACCTAGTTCATTGCTTCAGGCTTTCGGTACATTTGTAGAGAACTAACATACCGTGAGATCAGTAGTGCAAGATCTTGTGCTATTGATCTCACATGATCACACACTTTAGACCTCTATACTCTGAGAATTGAGGCCTGGACATTTACAAATGGAGGAAAGGCTTCGATCCTTCAGGCCTTCCCTGTGTTTGCTGTTTCCTTGCCAAAGCCTGCATGGAGATTGCATCCCTGTAGGCTTCAGCAGCCCTTTGCAAAAAGTGAAGCTTGGGAGGGGCGGACGCCTTCCTCCAGAGCTCTATTCCTACCAGCAAAGCCTTTTTGCAAAGGGCTGCCAAAGTCTACAGGGTCACAATTCTCCGTTAGACTGCTGTGAGAGTCTAATGTGGGTTGTCCCTGCCTCCTCGTCATGTGACTGAGTCTGCCAAATCGTTAACCTTGCCACTGTTGCTATGGTTACCCCAGCTTTTGACTCAGTCTGCTCAGTCTGCAGTTGTGTTCTGAGAGCTCTCTCAGAGCCGAAAGCTTTTAAAATCAGTAAAAATAGTAAATTGGAAGGGAAAAAAAGCAGCAATTCGCTTTAAAGCTAACAGCTGATCGGCGCGAAGACATCATCAGCTCCCGGGGACCTGGGAACCACCAAGAGAACACATGGGATGGGAAGGGCTTTCCCTCTCCCAGGGTGATTCCAGGACCAGAAATTGTTCCTTGGCGCTGAGGACACCAGCGGACAAACCTACAAGACTGTAAGTTGTTGCGGGGAGCAAGTGGAGCAGTGATAGGGGTTACATTGCTCCCCTCAGTGGATCCTCCAGTTTTGCATCTTCCTCAGGGCTCCCAATTCCCCTCTTAAACGCCGCCTGGAGTTCCCCCTGCGCTATCTGCCACAGTTGACTGGCACTAATTGCGGGCTGGGAGAGATTGATCCCCCACTTGATTCTGCGGCCTCATGTCTCACTATAACTTGTGTGGCAGAAGCATAAAATGACTGGCTTGGCAGCAACTTAATTAGTGAAATAGAAGGATAATCAGGCAGAGAAGAACCCCTGTCCCCTGCAATGGTGCAAGCCTCTTCAAGACACAGAAAAAAAAATCTAAGAGACATTCCTCAGCTCAAGGGGCAGCAGCAAGTATTAAGGGCAAGGCTGTTGCCATAAAGAAAAAACTAAAGCAGAGGAACGAGTAGAAAGAAGACATGAGGCCCTTGAACGGCAGTTTGCAAAGGGCTGGGAGCAAAGCGAGAGGAGGGGCCAACTGTTGCTGGGGCAGATTTGGAGACTATTAACATTCAGATCCCACAGTCTTGATCACCAGAGGGAGCTGCTGAGTTTAATCCTGCTCTGCCTCAGGATTTAGGTAGAAAAGGTCCCAGCAATAGGCCTATGGCTTGGTCTGACCCTGCTCTTTCTGCTTTTAGTCAGCCTCTTAGGTGGTCCTTGTCCCAAGCAGAGTCCACTTTTACTCCCACAGCTGCAGGCCTTCGCCCAGGGGGCTCTTCAGGAACTGAAATGTCAGATTCTATGAGGGAGGTTGTTTCAGCAGCCATCAGACAGGGTATTGCAGATGGGAAGCCGGTTTACAAAGTTCCATTTTAAAACTTTTTAGTAATTGGTTAATTTTATCTGCCTGTGATATCTTGTATCCTCCCCTAGTTCTATCTATGTTTAAACCAAGATATTGTTTAATTTCTCCTAATTGTTTTATTTTAAATTTTTTCTCTAACAGTGAAATTATTTTAGTAACTTCTTGTTCAGTTTTGGTGATTAATGCTATGTCATCAGTAAACAATAGCAATAATGAAACTACACCATTACTTTCCTTTTTAAAGAAACATGGATCAGCCATGCCAGCTACAAAACCTATCTTAGTTAATTCCTTAACTATACACTGGTTCCACTCATATCCTGATTGCTTCAAGCCATAAAGACTCTTTTTCAATCTCCAGCAATCAGTTGTATTATCATTTTTGATACCTAAAGGTTTCTTTAAATATATATTGTGTTGCAACGGTGCATGCAGATATGCCGTCTCTACATCTAAATGATTTATAACGTATTTGTCCTTAGCTGCCCATACTAATGCTACTCGTAATGTAGTAGCCTTCAGACTAGGTGCAAACACCTCATCGTAGTCGTTTGCTGTCTGATTGAACCCTTGTCTACTAACCTGGCTTTATGGGTAACAGTCCCATCTACACTAGTCTTAAGTTTATAAACCCATTTATATCCTATGGCATGTTTACCAGATGGTAACTTAACATTTTCGTATACTTCCAACTTTTTAAATGATTCCAGTTCCTTATCTATTGCTTCCTGCCAAGCAGCCTGATCCTTAGCAGGATACAGTTTTAGTTCATTATAGTTATTTGGAACTGTATTCACTTGGCATACAACACTAGTTTGATATCTATCTGGTGGTCGTGTTACTCAGGTTGAACGTCTAGGTATTACAGGGCTTACTGGTGGACTCACCTGTGCCACCTGCTCCTGTTCTTCTACTTCCTCCTGTGCCTGTTCTCCTACTTCCTCCTGTGCTTCCTCTTTAATGGCTATTCGTGGTTTACTTATTTTATCTTTAGAGACTATTTGGGTGTCAATAATAATATCATTGCTGGATTCCTGTTCCAGTTTATTCCACCCAACGTGCTCAAGAAATTTAGCACTAGCGCTACAGTAAACATGAGCTGTGCCTGGATCCTAGAATTTAAACGAACTATGGTTGACTTCATAACCTACGAAAAATAACTTCCTAGCTCTATGTTGCCCTTTCAGTCTTACTTGTGAGGGAATATGCACTCATGCTGGAGCTCCAAATGTGTGTAGGTAACTTAAATTTGGTTTTCTGCCATGCCAACGAGTGAATGGCAATTCACCAGTTGTTGTGTTAACTACATTGTTTAACACATGATTGCTACACGTTATGGCCTCACCCCACAGTGTTTCAGGTAAACCTGAGTCAGATAACATAGTATGAGCCATGGCTTGTAACGTTTGCTCTCTTCGTTCTACAAATTAATTATGTTGCGGTCTGTAAGGTGCAGAATATTTATGCTCGACACCAGCCAATTTCAACATAGTTTGGAATCTCTTGTTAATAAACTCAGTCCCGTTATCAGTAACTAAAGTAATTACTTTACTCCTCATTTTTCTCTTAGCAAATCTTACCCAGTTAAAGAAATGTTGGAATGTTTCTGTTTTGTTTTTCATGAGATAGCAGAAACCGTACCTTGAGTAATGGTCCGTAATACTCAAAATATAGCAGGCAGGGTTTCTTAGGACCAATTATGTCAGCAAACAAAACCTCTAAAGGTTCTTTGGCCTTAAACCCATAAAGTCTGTTTGCTGGAATAACCTTGCTTTTCTCTTGGCTACAAGCATTACAGTTTAAATACTCGCTACAGGGTTTTAATTATCCCATGAGCTGTTCAGAGCATCCAGAAGTGGGAGGTGCTTCAGTCTCTTCTGGAAAGGCTGGGCTTAAAACTCCGGGACGCTCCTCCTCCTCCACGGAACACCTCCTCAGCATCCCCCAGTTTTTAGCTCAGCCTTCGTGGTAAGAGATTGTGCACTCCCTGACTGGAACGGGTTTTCTCTGATTCAGGTTTGCTCTTTACATTCCACATGAATCTGAGGAATTGACCATGAAAATCACATATACAAAGTGATGGCAACGTTCCCACCCACAATAGTTCAAATTGTCCACCCAATTAAAAGTTGTATGTAATGTCATGTGAGCATCTTCAGGTGGTGATGAGGCATCTGTCCATTGACCTTGGCCTATTTTGATAAAGAGGTGCGCTTATGCATAGCATAGGAAAGAAGCATAAACAAGAAACTTTCCCCCCCAACTTATACAATTTATTATCTCAAAACCTCCAGCTCACTTCCCATAACTATTTCACCCCTCCTCTCCCCATTATTTATGATATCCGAAAGATGCAAAGCAAAGAAATCCTGAAGGCTGCCATTCAGTCCTCCTGCAAAAGAGATGTTAGCCCTATAAAAGAAAGAGAATACAAGATAAAAGGATAATATTCATGTTACACAATGCTACAATATTTTCAGATCTGTCAGGATATTTAGCATGAAATGCCTGTACAAGCCTAGAGGCTTGAACATCCTTCTCATTCACCCATTCCGACTGGGAAGGAAGAAAGTGTTTCGAGATGACTAAATACTAGAGTCGACCTCTTTGTCTCTTAGAATCCAATATTTCTTTAATTTCAAAATGTTGTTCACCCTAAATCAGAAGAAAAATGGGGGGATCAACCTGAGCTGGTCTCAGGTCAGAGGTATGTTCAGGTTTGAACAAACTAACATGAAAGACAGGATGAATCCTTCTAAGGGTTTTAGGTAATTGCAGTTGGACTGCCACGGGATTCACAATTCGTTCCATTGGAAAAGGTCCAACATATTTAGGCCCCAGCTTTTTAGACTTTGAGTGGTTTGCAAATATCTAGTGGACAAGAAAACCTTGTCCCCTACTTGATAATGTTTTTGTGGAGCTCTCTTTTTATCTGCAAATTTCTTATGAGCTTGATGAGCATCATCCAATGCTTTACGGGTAACCAGCCAGGTAAGCTGGAGTTGGGTTATCCATTCACTCAAGGACTGAACATTGAGTTTCTCCTTCACTCAAGGACTGAACATTGTGGAAGCTCGGGTATGGATACAAAGTCTTGACCTGAAGCAACTTTAAATGGAGTAAAACCAGTGCTACTATGAACCAAATATGCCACCTCAGCAAATGGCAATAGGTGAGACCAATCATCTTGTTGATAATTAATATAGCATCTAAGATATTGTTCCAATACCAAGTTAGTTCTCTCACAAGCCCCATTGGTTTGTGGGTGGTGGGTGGAGCTTAAGCCCTGGGCAGAGCCCAACAACTTCAGGAACTCCTTCCAAAAGTTTGAGGTGAATTGGACACCCTATCTGAAATTATCTGTTCAGGAACACCATGCAACCTATAGACATGTAAAATAAGCAGTTTAGCTAAAGATTTTGCAGATGGGATTTTTGCACAAGGTATGAAATGTACCTGTTGGAAAACAAATCCATTACCACTCAAATAGCTGTATTTCCCCCGCTTCAGGTAATTCCACTATAAAATCCATAGAAATTTCTTTCCATGGAGCAGTCGGTCTGGCTACATTTTTAATAGGCCAGCTGGCTTACCAGGCGGTTGTTTGGCTGAAGCACAGATAGGACAACTAGCCACATAAGTTTCAATGTCCTTTTTTAAAGTAGGCCACCAAAATTGCCTTTTAACCAAATGTAGGGTTTTTACGCACCCAAAATGTCCAGCAGTTTTGGAATCGTGAGCTTGTTGTAATACTGGGTTTCTCAACTTTGCTGGCATGTATAATTTAGCCCCCACCCATGCCAATCCATCTCTAACCGTACAGTTATTTGAGTGAGCCAGGAACCAATCATCAAGTTTCAGAGCTTCTTTTAACTGTGCAGATAAATCACTTGTTAAATCAACTTCCCCTTTTTTCTGGGCTCTAGTAACCATTGGAGCTGCCAACTGTCTAGTTGCGGCAATAGGGCGGATCATTTCTGGACGGACACTATTATATTGAGGCAGCCTACCATGAAGTTCTTCCCCCCTGGAATGTACTTCAGTGAAAAATTAAACTTGAAGTATTGTGCCCAGTGAACTTGTTTAGGCGACAGTTTTCAAGGTGTTTTTAGAGCCTCTAAATTCTTATGATCCATCCACACCTCAAAGGGGTGTTTTGCCCCCTCTAGAAAATGCCTCCAGGTTAATAGAGCACAATGAACTGCAAAAGCTTCTTTTTCCCAAATGGCCCATCTTCTTTCTGTCTCAGTTAGTTTACGGGAGGTGTATGCACACGGTTGCAAAATCCCCGTCTTGTTTGCTTGTAGTAACACAGCCCCCACCACTACATCACTTGCATTGGCTTGGATTACAAAAGGGACATTCATGTCTGGGTGCTTTAGCATTGGCTTAGCTGCAAAAAGTCATTTCAGCTTCTCAAAAACAGCTTGACACTTCATGGATCACTCTAGCAGTCAACTGGGCATCAGTTTCACCTCCCCCTTGGTTTTTAGGAGATTTGTAATAGGCAGTGCAATCTTCGCGAAAGCTGGGATAAACTGATGGTAAAAATTAGCAAATTCCAGGAAACTGCAATTGCTTTCTGGTGTGGGGAGGGGCCCATTCCAAAACTGCATGAACTTTTCCCGGATCCATTTCTATGCAGTCATGTGATATGTGATAGCCTAAATAGTCAATTTTCTCTTGGTGGAACTCACACTTGGATAACTTTGCATATAGTTCAGCAGCTCGAAGTTTTTTCAAAACTGACTGCACTAGTTTCACATGTTCGTCACGAGTCTCAGTGTAGATAAGAATATCATCAAGATAAACCACTACCCCTTTGTATAAATGTTCATGCAAAACTGCATTTATCGTTTGCATGAATACAGCAGGGCCCCCCTGTAGACCAAATGGGAGAATGTTGAATTGGAAACATTCCATTGGGCAGTTAAAAGCAATTTTCCATTCATCTCCCTCCTTGATTCGAACTCGGTAGTAAGCTTCTCTCAAATCGAGTTTTGTAAAAATGTTTTCTTTGGGTAGGTGGGCCAACATCAAGGGGAGGGGGTACACGTTCTCCACCAAAATAGCATTTAAATTTCTATAGTCAACACACAAATGAAGCGAGCCATCTTTCTTCTTGTGGAACAATACCGGGGCCACTACCTGAGGCCTAACAGGTTGGATGAAACCTCGTTCAAGATTTTTATCGATAAACGACCACAGGTCCTCTAGCTCCTGCAGTGTCATCGAGTACAGTTTAGGTTTTGGGAGTTTCACTCCTAGTAGAATTTCAATACTGCAATCTGTTGGACGATGGGGGGAGGGGCGGGGAGCTCGTCCGATGCCTTTTCACTGAACATCTCCTTTAAATCCCAATATTCTTCAGGGATTTTCTCCTCCTGCCTCAGGTTCTCACTGCCCATGGATGCCAACTCTGTGGAATTCTGGGAGTTCAGCTGAGATTGCCCTTTCCCTTCTGGGAGTTGGTAAGTGCATATGCGTAGTGATCCCTTCCTCCAATCCACTTGGGTGTTCCACTTCCAAGCCAGGGCAAGCCTAGTAGTAGGGGGCGCTCAATCCCAGGGGTTACAATAAAACACAAAGTCTCTCTATGCCTCTCATCATCATCATTTCCACTGGTTCTGTTATGAAATGTGCAGGGCCACCCCCAGCTACCAATCCATCCAGTTGGCAAAATGCTATGGGATTTTTAAAAGATCTTAGCCTTAACCCCAATTTCTCCACAACTTCTGAGCTGATTATGCACCTTGTGCACCCAGAGTCTAACAACACCAACATTTCCCCTTGGGTTCCTGACTTGGGTACCCTTAATCTCACTCAGATGGTCATTGGGTCCTTGTTTGGACTTACCAGAAGGTCGTCTTCCAATTCAGATTCACTTTCACCAGAAGAGGTCGGAGTTCCCAGCTCCATTCCTTTCGGAGGGGCAATCTCTACAACCTCCTCCACTTTAAGAGCTGTTTCGTGTGGCTTGACTGGAGTTTTTTCAGGTTTTCTTCTTCCCACTGGCATCCCCTTTGGCTCTAGCTTGGGGTGGCAGTCTTCAGCCTGGTGACCCTCCTTCCCACATCGGAAGCATGCGGTGGTCTTGGGTTTTGCTGCTGATCCTCCCTTTTGAGGTTTTGAGGCTGCTCAAGGGCTGGTGGGGGATAGCTTGCTCCAACCAAGGCCACCCCTGAGTCTGTTTCAGGTCAGATCAATTTCCACTTCTGCTGCCAACACATACTAAAGTTGCACATCACTGGGGTCTTTTCTGGCAATGCAGATAAACATCTTCATTCAGCCCATCTTTAAAAGCTTCTATCAGGGCTCCCTGGGACCAGCCTCGAATATGGCATGCCAGCTCTCTAAATTTCTGGGTGTATTCGGCCACTGATCTCGACACCTGATTTATGGTTTTTATCCTAATCCTAGCCTTACGTTCAATTAGTGGGTCTTCAAATCTGCCATGAACAGGTCGTAATTCATCAACTGGGGGCATTATCATTATGCAAAGTCACCATCCATTTTGCAGCAGTCCTCTCTAAAGCCCTGGTAACACATCTGACTTTAGCTGCCTCTGAGAAAAAGTCCTCCCCATACTCTTCCATGTGATTCCACACACGAGCCAGGAAAAACCCTAATTCCTTGGGATCCCCTCCATATTTTACTTCCAGTGGAGGCACCTTTGGAGCTTGATGCCTTCTGGCAATTGATCCCCCACCAGGGGTCCATGGGCTGCTGCCGCCTGTTGCACTAGCCCAGGTTGATTTATGGAGATGGCTGTTTGGGCTCTCATAGCTGGGGCTGCCTCCCCCTTTTCCCTCTCATACCTTTGATCAGCCTGGATTCCTCCAACAGCTTCATTCAGAAGATTTATGGCTTGAGCTAATTAAAAATTCTTTCTTTCTTCCTCTTGCCACAGTTCTTCTCTCCTACACCACCAAGTAGTGGTCACCCCTGGAGAGGTTCTTCTTCCAATTTCTTCCAGCCAACTCCCAGGGACATTTAGGTTTTATGTCTGGCTTCTCATCAAGATATAGCCCACCAGCAGATTGGTCTTCCCTGCAGCATCAAAAACAGGGAAATTGGTCTTTCAGTAGCTCCCAATTCTTCATGGTCACTGGCTGGATTGGACATTGTTTTCAGACCCCCTTGGAAGAAAAAGTATTAATTCTCTGGGTGGGCTGGTAAACTGATATTCAGAATAATGTCAGCTGGT